GACTAGTGGAAATCTTCATAAAGCTTATTAAGTACCACACAAACAGTAGGTATGTTGTGGGGTCCAAGTTCAGGCTTAAACAAACCCGCCAACTGCTAACCAGCTCCTGAAAACCAGCCTAGTCAGCCTAAAGCAAAATTGATAGAGAGAGTTATTTGCACCACGGGCATGCTGTTGGGGGAGAGGAAAAACACCCTGTGAAACACAGTGACCTGCCTGGGTAGGCACTGGGATGGGAAGAGTGCCTAAGTGCTACCTAGTCTGATAGCTGTGCTGGAGCAAAGGCTCAGAACGAAGAGACTTAGGCCCAGCTGAGCCTCCTAAGGTTAAATGCATGAAATACTCTCCTCAAGAAGTACAAAGAAATGTACTGGAACCTCACTCCAGTGGCTGAAGGCTGTATACTCCACCAAGTGAGGCAGAGGAACACAGCCTGGCTCTAGAATCTGGGGATGCTTAATAGGCATCACCAGCCTGGTGCCCCATCTGAAAGTAGAAATAAACCAGCCTGGGGTTGATGGCAGGAGTCAGGTGATCATGGCTGCATCCTGCTGGACCTGGGAAAATTTCACAGAATGATCAGTAGGGACCAGGAAATATCAGTGGAGTCAAAAAGCCAAGGCCCAAATGCCATGTTGAGGAATCTGGCCCATAGAGGTACAAAGATTTATAGGGTCAACACCTTTGCATGGACTGCTGGGGTCTCTAGTGAGAAAAAAGGCTAGGGCCCACGGCAAAGCTTGAAAATCAGGGAAACGTCTGGCTCAAGAGAGAAGTTTCAATCCCTGTTTTCCTTGAGGAAATTTCCCCTGGGCAAGGAAAAAATCAGATTGCAAACTCTACCTAACTGATAAATCCAGTTTTGTCTTCCAATTTAAACTGGTATTATTGTTTAATTAAAGTACTTAAAACAGTTTTGTACATTGTAAATTCATAAACTACCATACAGGGTTAACATACTCTTTGCTATCTGCTGGTTAAGATAAGAATACTGATTCGTGATTACTTAGAAGTCTGTTGGCAGCCAGTCAAACTGAAAATAGGACAATGTGAGGTCAAAGGAAAAAAATGAGAGAAGGACACTTTAAAATCCAAGCAGCTACAGCCAAGTTTTTGCAAAACTTATAGCAAGTGAGGTAGAGGAAAATATATTCAAGAGATTCTAAGTGTTAAAGATGTATTTTTTAAGTGGAAGGATTTTGCATGATAAAACTTATGTCCTGCTAGAAAGATAAAGAGAGAGATAATGACAAAATTGAAATGCTCACATATGTCAGAAAAACTTGTAGAGTAACCACTCTACAAGTGGTTTATTAACAACAACCAGCAAAAGGGCATAACTTGTCCTCTACAAAATGGTAATCCTAATTTTCATAAAGATATTTGTATTCATCTATAGTAGCTATCATTTTTCAACCATGGTAGAGGTGGACTAAACCCAGTACCGTGCCATGCCTATTGAACTTGTCCTTCTGTATACACAGCTGAATAATTAATGCCTTGCTGTTCTGAGCAGCCATTCCTCAGAGCTAGTAAAATGACTAGATTAGGCTTCAGTCATCTCTAAGCACTGCATTCGATCCTTTCCTGGTGGTTGAATCTGTCTTTAGATGGGACACAGGACTAGGG